GGGTTCCCCCCCCCCCCCTCCTTTCAGCCCTTATTCAAATTAGGGTTTAGTTCTATTCCCAGTGGAATATATGGATATTTTGATATGTGGCTTCCTAGTTCTCACAGCCATTTAAAGAAAACTCAAACTTTTTTTTTTTTAAAAAAAAAAAAGAACCTTACCAACTGCTTTTGGTGCAGGCTCTTTCCCCGCACGCAGAGCACGCCAGCTTTTCTTAGGGAAAAAAAAAACAACAAACAACACATTGCAGTCCAGATTTCACTCACAGCACCATTCTTCAGAAGTTCAAGCTGGAACAATGCAGACATAGGAGGGAGGATCAGAAACCGTCTGAGGGCAAGTCCTCCTTTCTGCCCCATATTTCACAAGGCAGTCATCAGGTTTTGGTGCAAGATAGAAACAGGCTGCTTGGGTGAATTCTTACTGGAAGCCAATACAAACTTCTCGGAAGCAGATTGTGTTTTCTGTTTCAAAACTAGGAATAGCTCAGCTCTGGGACTTCTGCTGGAAGAACTTTCCGTCAACGCAAGATTTAAAAGAAAAAAAAAAAAGTCAGTCCTGTGTGTTAGAAATAGTTTGGCTCTTCTGACTCTTCACTTTTACTATAAGAAATGATTATAGGCTAAGGTCACAAAACAGAGCCACTAACCTCTGTTTGAACTTCCTCGTGTTTGGCACATGTGGGTATTTCATTATCGGTTCAGAGGCATAGCTGGCTGACAGGCCGTACATACCAGGAAAATGTGCAATCTTACTTTTAAGTCTTTCTTTCAACCTGCCCCTATTTCCTCCATGTGCGTATGAAGGAGGAAGCTGTATCTTTAAGAAATACGTTCCCCCCCCCGTTTCCTGTGAAATATTAATAGATGCTGCCAATGGGATGGAGCTCTTTAAGGGTGTTGTGTAAAACGTCTCGCGCTGCGTTCGCTGCAGCACTGAGCACATAGACACCTTTTGATTTTTCTCCAGCGAAGGCAAAGACGGGGCAAATTGTGGAGATCAGGCATCAAGGATGCTCTGCAATAGCAATAACAACCATCCCCTTCCCTGCACAAAACTGGGAGCTATTGACTATTCATGGCAAAGCATCCAAAGCGCAGCGGCAGAGCCTGTGGAAAATGACAGCGTGTAACAAGATTGACTGGCATTTCCTTCGCGCTGGGTCACATGCCTCCTAATTCACACACACACAAAACCTCATAGGCTGATCAAATGACTTCTATCTCTGCAGTCCACATACCTTCCACAGAAAGAGTTGTTTTATTATGCACATATACAGCTCTGTTTTCAATCAGTCACCTTGAGCGAATGACTGAAGGCCAGTGTTCGCTCTGTCCGGAGGTCTCTGTGTTTGCTCTCTAAGAGGCATAGTCTCCGTCCGTAAGCAATTTATTTTTTTTTCCTCTGGGGGAGGGGAGGGAAAGAAAACAAATACGTAGATGTCCCTCCTGCCTTCCCCTCCCCAGAAACCTTTCTAGGAAGTTTGCTTGGCTTAACTGGGAAAGCGCAGGACAGTCGCTGCTGTCGGCGAGCATTGCGGTGGGCTGCACTAGGAAGGATGGATTTTGCCCTTGTGCCTCTGTGGGGTTGCAGCGGGATTATGGCTCACGTGAGTAGGGGCTTGCAGGATGCTGCCTGCTCGCCGCCTCGACACGGGGGGGAAACTGGGAGCACGGCTGCCCACCGTGGGTCACGGCAGATTGAGATGCCGGGGGTCTGTACAAGCCCTCCCAGTTTAGCATCTGGCACGAGGTTCAGATCACTTCGACCTCCGTACCCAGAGAGAGAGGAGCATGGAGTGATGAGGTGAAACCAGCCACCAGCTGGCTTGCCAGGACATGGTAATTAGCTCAGTGCAGTGCCAGCCTTATTAAGGGCAGTGCAGGTGATGATGACGTTGGCACACTGATTCATTACATCTGGAGGGGAAAATCCGCCTAGTAAATGCTGAAGCACAGTAAATATTTTTGGCTCCTGACAGACTGATCCTTGCATTATGCTGATTAGCCTATATTTGTGGAATTGAGGAAGTTAAAAATAAGGTTGGTGGAAAGCTACAAGATAAGGAAAGGATTTGCGTTTTATGGCCACCAGCAATAAACTTTTTTATTTGTTTTTTGGGGTGGTAAAAATTTCAACACTTTATTTTTTTCTCCCCATTCCCTTCTTTGGCTCTAGGTTTCACTGTTAGGTGAAAGCCCATATTTTATTTTCTCTTGCCAGTAATATTCTGGAAGGGAGCTGTAAATCTAGAGTGCACACAGTTGGGAAATGATTTCTGAAAGAATTCTTTTGCAAATACGTGGTGCAATCCTGCAAAATGCTTCGGCCCTGACAGTCCTTAGGGGGTGGTACAGACGTATCAAAGCGTGTAGCAGCATGTGTACTCAGTGAGACTGGATGCTTTGGACTTTCCTGTGAGATAGAGGGCTTTACGAGCTTTAGTTCATGGAGATAAATGATTAAACCAACTTCTGACTGCTGCTGTTTTGTTTTCCTCCACTCAGGCTCTCACCTGAACTTTTGCCGCCTGGTATATGCTGTTGGGATATCCATAAGAGATCGCCCAGGAATGGTGGATCACTTGCTGCCTACTGATGAATCCTTTTCATCTACAAGATCTTCTCTTGGATACTTTGGGGACATGACAGCAGGGGTGAGGTCCTACCAAATGCTACCCTCTCCCCTGTCGGAAGATGACAGCGACTCCTCCAGCTTTTGTTCTTGTTCCAGCCCTGACTCCCAGGTTCTCAGCTCCAGCTATGGAAGCACGTCCAGTGCAGAAAGTCAGGACAGTATCTTAGACTACTTATTGTCCCAGGCATCTTTGGGGAACACCGCTGCGTCATGGTGGGACAAAAGGAGACTTCAACCGATAGTGAAAGAGGAGTACTTTAGGTTGCCTGAATTTGCCGTGGATATGGAAGACTCAGGACCATTTCAGCCCACGCTTGAGGAAATTGAGGAATTTCTGGAGGAAAACATGGAGTTGGAGCTCAAAGAAAGACCTAAAAGTGAGACCAAGGACTTGAGAGCTTGCAGCCAAGTTTCTGTTGCTTCGCTACAGCAAAAAGACCATATGTTACCCGGCGCTAGTTTAAAAGAGAGTAAAAATGAACAGTTGAGCAGCTCAACGGAAAGTGGCCAAGCTTCAAATGGAGGAATGTCCCTGGAGAATGGGATACCGGTTATGCTCCAAATTCAGCCTGTACAGATCAAACAGGAGTCCAACACGAGCCCCAGTTCCCAAGGACCAGCACAAGACAACATTAAAATTGCACAGCTCCTAGTCAACATCCAAGGACAGACATTTGCCCTTGTGCCTCAGATAGTTCAGTCGTCCAATTTGAACTTGTCCTCTAAATTTGTCCGCATTGCTCCCGTCCCCATCGCTGCCAAGCCAATTGGGCCAGGAGGCATGATCCAGGGTCAGACGGGAATCATCATGGGTCAGAAATTTCAAAAGAACCCTGCAGCAGAACTCATTAAAATGCACAAATGTTCTTTTCCTGGTTGTACCAAGATGTACACGAAAAGCAGCCATTTGAAAGCCCACCTGAGGAGGCATACAGGAGAAAAGCCTTTTGCATGCACGTGGCCGGGTTGCGGATGGAGGTTAGTATCGGGGTGCAGCGCTGTCCTATTCCCCTTCCCCTTTTTGCTCACTTGACCTAACTTGCAGAGCAAGTAGGTTTGCACTCTAATTTAGAAACTGTTTCTGTTCCCAAAACTTTTTCGGTTGGTTTGAGAATTAAGACCTTGTTCTTCCTGTTAGGTAATCTAGGGGCTTTCATAAATTAAATAGCAGAGCATCACCTGCTGGCACCAGCTGTTTAAGTGTCTTTAAAAAAAAAAAAAAAAAGTAGTCCATTGTAATTTGTGTTTCATTCCAAGAGGGTCAGATTAAGCTTGTTACGACAGGCAATACCTTGCATTCACATTGGTCTGGTTGCAACACACCAGCTGCAGCAGATGCTTGGCTGGTACCAGCTGAGGGCTGTAAGTGAACTGGATGGTTTAGGGCAGAATCACTGTGCGTGGCTGTCTGTGGCTCCAACTGCATGGAGCAGTTGGGCTAAACACGATCACTGAAGGGCTGTGATAAGCGAGTGTGGTTAAGAGGAGCAGTATTCTGTGCAGCTTCATTGAAAATGCACTCCATCCCACTCCTGGAAATGCTGGCAGTGACACTCTGGCATGCTCTGGGTTTTATTCTCTGCGTTGATTCAGAGAAATGCGTGGGTGCCACTCAAAGTTGCAAAAAGCTGTCAGATGTAACAACATAATCAGAAGGCTGAGGTGGAGTTAAGCATTGCTTGAATGAAAGAAAGATTGCGGGTTTGATTGAGCAAAACATTTTGCAGAGGGTATCTCGACTTTTTTTATTTTTTATTTTTAATACTAGTTGAAAAATTAAAACTTTGTTAAAAAAAAAAAAATCAACTTTTTATTTTAAGGAAACTTTGACGGAAGCCTTCCTCCCCCTTTCCAATTAGCTGTATTACTAGCCTGCCTGCTGGCAAGAGTTAATATACAGCACCACAAATTATGATGGGAGAAAACAAAATCTTAACTCCCTTGTATTAAATTAAACCGGATTTCTTTCAAAGAATATCCTGCAGAGCTTCAGCGAGCAATGTCTAATGAGGAAATGGGTTGTGATCATGGGGAACAGACGAGGTAAAAAGTAACAGGAGAGGGTTGTGTAAAAATGCAAGTATGTGAGACATGCAGCAGTTAGAGATGGCTGGATTGGTTTGAGGGAAAAGGTCAGAATGGGGCTGAATCCTCTGCTTCCCAACTGGACCAGTTTGAAGTTTGCCTCTTGGCGGGACTGAGGAGATCAATGCAATTGACTTCTTTGCTGATTTCCTTTCCCGTTACAGTTTATGGTGCCTCTACAAACTGGCAGCGCTTTTCTTTCCTCTTGTACTGGTGGTACTTCTCATGAGCCGGACTCAGTGGCTTGCTGCTCAGGATGCACTGAAATTAAAGCCATGTTATTTAGCTGATTGGTCCCATAAGCTGCAGGCTGGTTTGCTCCTGACTTGCAGTAGAGGCACTCACTCCTTTTTATTTGGTTGCCAGAGTACGTGTGCGCAGGCAGCAGATGTGCCTCCTGCTTGTGAATGTGCTTTTGGGTGTCACGTTGACTTTCCTTGTGCTGGGATGTGAGCAAAACTCTCATTTTTGTGACAAATGCATGTGACAAATGCATGTGGCACGTGAGGGTTTGTCTGATCCATGCTGAGATTTATACCAATGCTTCCAATGACTTTTGTGGCTCAAGATCAGGAGCCTGAAGTGTTGCCTGTGGGTGACCTTCTCCGGGTCTGTCTTATTACAGAGCTGGTATTTCCCAGGCTGCAAAACCAAGGGGAACATTTAGGAAAATACTAAGTGGTAAGGCACGGAGATTGAATTTACACCAGGGTGCCTGCCTTCTCCCAGCATTACAGCGAATGGTGTGGATCAGAAGCAGGATGCAGGTGTAAGGTGGGCCAAGAGAAGTGCAGGTCCCACAACCAGGAGCACCCTGAACTTTCACTCTCAGCCAGCCACAACTTTTTAAAGACGAGGAGCCCAACAGGGATGAGAAATTAACCACCTTAGCTATGAGGAACATGTGTCTTGTCCACAAACAGCTGCTGGAAGGACTTTTCAAACTCTCTGTTGCTGTCTGTCTTCTTGCATTTCATGGCCCAGGCTGGTACCCCAGTCCCCAACACCCCCAAACTTTGGAAAGGCTCTGCTCAGAGCAGGGAGGTTTATGGCCAGCAGGAGAGGCAGCGCTTGGGTAGCTGCTTCCCGCGCTCACAACAATACTTAGCACCGGCCTGAGATTGCTGCACATCCCCTACGCACTGCTCCCACATCAAGGGCCAGACCCAACTGAGCACTGAATTACTCAGTCCCCTTTCATCAATAAAGCATGTTTACCTTTTCCAGAAGTTCAGCGAGAGCTGTGATCTCACATGACTGAAGTCAAATGCATCTGGACTCTGCTCCTAGTTTTATATCATCTCAAATGAATTTAAGCACTAAAACACTGCTGGGCTCTGCTTTCCGCCCCCTTTCCCTGCATTCTTGTGCTTGCATATTTATTTTTTCACTGAAGACACTTAAGATCTGACCTCACTGAAGATAGTAATTTTGAAAACAAAACAAAGTGTTGCCTAGCACAGCGTGGCTGAGCTGTTGGGGGTTAAAGCTTTCCCAGCTCTCTGGGCAGCCCTGCTATGGTGAAGTTGCATGCTTTAAATGCAGCAAGGTAGGGGTGTGCACACAGCAAACCCTTTTGCTAACCCCTAGGACAGTAGGAGAGCCCCAAGCACCTCCCTGGAGGAGGCTGAACCCTGCTTGCTTGTGCCCTTCCTTGGCACAGGGTGAGAGCTGTTTTCGGCAGGCTGCAGAGAGGCGTTCGTAAGTGGCTGGTGACCCGTTGCGTTCGATACCCCGCTGTACCGGTCGGTGCACTGATCCGTGTCATGCCAGCTTATACCTTTGGCACACAGCAGCCTCTGGTTAGCGCTGCTCCTGAGACAGCCCTGACCAAAAAGCTGAGCTGTAGCATGGGCCAGTCCCCAGCAGCCGTGTTATGGCATGGAGCAGGAGAAGCTCTTGCTTTCCCTCCCCTGGCACAGCAGCATACAAAGCTGCAGTTGTTGTAAGGCCCGGGGGATTAGGCGATCACGTTTAAATGCCCTGCTGCATCTTCTGGCTGGAGGCACTTCCCCACAGCCGGCTCTGCAGGTGACAGTGTGCAATACAAACTCTGCCTGCTTTGGTAGGGAGGGTTTAAAGGCTTGTAATGCATGTGGCTGGGAACGTGTATGGGACCGGGTGAGCGTGGAGAGGACCACGTGTGGGACAGGGCAGGGCAGGCAGCTTGCATTGGCCTTTTTTGCTGGTGCTGTGCAAAGGGGTTTGCAGGTGCGCAGGAGCAGCGCTGGTTTACCGTAGTGGTGCTTTGGGGATGGGCAGGATGAATCTAGAGCCTCCCCTCCGCTGCGGAGGAGAGGTACAGCCTGAGTCAGTCTCAATGGCTGGTGGCTGTGGTAGGGACCATGGAGTATCAGGCTGAAGCTATTGACCTTTCTTGCCCTGTGAGCCACATAGCAATGTCCTCGTATGGCCAGGAGACACAGGACACATCCTAAACATCATGGAGCTCTAGGATTTGTCTTCAAGGGAGACGTAGTTACAGGTCCTTTGGGGTCCCACCAGATGGAAGGATGAAGGAAACTCTTCCAGTTGCTGTGGGATTGCCTAGATCCCTCCACCTTTCTTTTGAAGGAGGAATCCTTCTGGAAATGGCAGTGACTTGGGATAGTGAGGTGTTCCTTGGAGGTACCTTTCTTTAGTTTGAATTTGGCATTCCACTGGGGATTATGTGCAGTTTTCTTGGGATGATCTCAGTGCCAGAACGTGCTGCAAATATCATTTCACTGCAGAGCCAGGCCACCAGATCCTCCCGGCTTCCTTGTCCTAACCTTTGCGTTGTTTTTTTGTAAACACACCGACAGCTCGAAGTTTATTTCTGTGGGCTCTGTAAGTTGATCTTTCCGTGACTGCTGGGGAACAGTATTGCAACATTCCTGCCTCTTCAGCTAAGGACATCGTTATGAAGCAGAGTGTATTTTTATCGGATGAACTCATCCGAGCTCCCAGGGTATGAGCAGAGCTGCTCATTCCTGACATGTGCCTCTTTCTCCCCCACCATCCATGCAATTCCCATTGAAATGCACTAGTGGAGCTCTTGTGCAGGACTAGCCATGTGCTACTGCACTTCTGTTGCAGATGGTGACCTTAATGGCCAAGAACATGGGACAAGGCAACCCGGCCACATCTGGTTTTACTCCTTTGAGTGATAAACCTGTATATAAGAGGACGGCTCTTTGCAAAGGTGCTTTTCCCTCTCTGTTCCCTCTTTTCTCTGGACGTGGTTGCCACCACTGCCAATGAGTCCACTCCTTGTCCAGCACTGAGTCCCGCTGAGGCAGTCTGCACAGGCAACATCCTGCCCTCTCCAGAAAGATGCTTAGTCCCACTCATCCATAGCTCTGTAAGAGCATCCCTCCAGGGATGCGGCATTGGGACTAGCTCACTGCTAAGGACTCAGGAGAAATCCCTGGCCCTGCTGCTCCCAGGTCCAGACTGTGGTTTTGGGAAGCCATGGCTGGAAGGAGCAGGGATGCTAGAGAAAGCAAACGTGCAAGTACTAGGGGTGAAGAGAAACCTCTGTCATAGCCTTTATAAAGAAGACGTGTCCCAGACAAGGAACAGGTTGATGGCTCCGTTAGGGTATCTGCCTGTTGCTCTTAATGGTGAATTTGACTCTTTCACCATGGGGATACCGAAGCAAGGAAAGGGAGAAAAGCAAGAGAACGGGTGAAGGAATCTCCCCTAGAAATGCCCCTGGGAGAGATGTGTCCATACCCTACCTTACCCACGGCGAGTATCTGTGTCTACTTTGTGCTGGCTGAACGCTCTCTGGGTAGCATCATCAGACTGAGGAGCTGCAGGAACTAAGGAAACCATTCCCAGATTTCCCAGTGCCTGCACCCTGTTCCTCAATTGGCGGCGGGAGATCAGAGCTAATTAAAACCTTTATGTGGAAACTTATTTTTCTTGCATGAAGGACTTATTCATAGGAGCCCAGTGGTCCTGTTTTCCCCCTTTCATAAAAATAGCGTATTCACTCTGTTGGTGATGTGATATTTTGCTCCAGAAGGGCACATTTTTCTACATGTTCTTTCCCCCATTTATTCAGCTAGTGGCCATGACTTCATTTATTTATTGTAAATAAACAGCTGATACCATTTCTTGCAAGCTCTCTTTCTGTGCAGCTCTTTGTTACTGCTCTGGCAACAAAACACTTTATTGCCCTTTGTCAGGCAGCAAATTTTTTGTACCCATCTGGACAGGGCTGTTTTAGTGTGACATTATTAATTAACCCTGTGGCTCCCAGTCACATCCAAGCTGGAAATAGAGCCAGCCCTGCTGTTAAGACCGAAGAATTAGCTGATTTGAGTTCAGTAAAGCCTGTGGGATTCACGGTGGCTATTTGGGGATTTTTCTGTGGAGACGGAAGGTGGGTAATATCTAAAATTGAAATGACTCTGGGAGACAATTTTGGTAATTAAAGGCTCAATCTTGATTTCAATTTACCCATGAAGTAACTATGCTAATGGCCATTGGGGCCCACCTGGATTTCAGCTGTTACGATGTTGAGCATCTCTGGTACTGAGATGTTAATGACTCTTTATTTAGCCTGCAGGAGCACGTACAAAAGCCAAGTTTTCAGCTGGATCTGATAAGCCATGTAGCTTCTGCGTAGCTATGTCTGGCTGTTATCGGTGGTCCATCTCAAACTAGGGGCAATTACTGGATGTCTGTTGTGCTTGTGTCAGTGGGAGCTTGGAGCAGACCTCACCTGCGGGATGTTGGTTGTTATCTCTGCTCGAGAAGGGTCCATGCTTGGGTTTGCAGGAGAGAGGTTGTGGGACAGGCTTTGAAGGGGACTGGGCAGAGGGATCAAGAGCAGTGCTGTTTTTGTTGAGCTGTACCCATGTCATTGGGTTTAGGGCAAGGCTGGTACAAACGTTGCCTCCATGCATTGCTCTGAGTCCAGAGTTGACATGGGATGAGGTTGATAATTCTGCGTTTCCATCACTGCTGCTGATGGCCGGTTGGGACCAGGCTGGCCCTGTTGTGTGTCCCTTTCAGTTCACGTGTTCAGGCTTTGCTGCAAGTGGAGTCTCCCAGTGGCCTGAGGGGACTTTTTTTCCCCGCTGTGAGAGACTTAGCAATGTAAAAAACCATTTATCTGAAAAGACTTCTGTTCTCTTGCAGGTTCTCCAGGTCAGATGAGCTGTCCCGGCACAGGCGCTCCCACTCGGGGGTGAAACCCTATCAGTGTCCTGTCTGCGAGAAGAAGTTTGCTCGAAGTGACCACTTGTCCAAACATGTCAAGGTGCATCGGTTCCCACGAAGCAACCGCTCCATCCGCTCCGTGAACTGATTAGTCCTGCTTTCCCCTTCCCGCCCAGCCATCCTACAACAGCCGATGACAGACTTTGCTCATATATTTCTAGTGATAATTTATTTGTCTCCACAGAACAGTCAATGCTGTTTCTTGATACCACTCTGAGTGTCCCATGTCCTTCCTTCCTACAACAGCCGATGACAGCACTTTGCTCACTATATTTCTAGTGATAATTTATTTGTCTCCACAGAACAGTCAATGCTGTTACTTGATACCACCATGTCTGAGTGTCCCATGTCCTTTAAACATGATTTGAGAATGAAGTTCTTTTTGGGTCAGGGGAGGGGGGGGTGCTTCTTCCTTTTTGTCTTTTTTTTTTTTTTTAAGGATGTTATTTTCCTTTCCTTCTATCTTTCCCTCCTTTGCTGCTGCTTCTTTTGGAAATTACAGTGTTTTATTTTTAGCTGTTTTCTGCTGCACAGGAAAATGTAAGAGTTGCTTGCTGCTAGTTAATTATAGCCCTGGCATTCCTGAGGGCTTTGCTCATGTACAGGCCATTCATTGTGAGTTTTTATTAAGCTGCTCTATTTGTCCAGTTTGGAAACAGCAAATTCCTTTTGAAATGAAAACAACTCCTTTGTTTTTGGGTCGCCTGAGCCAAGGATTTGTAGGGGCTGGCCATAGGAGGAGGAACAGTGGGAGTCGGGGACAGGGGGAGGCAAGGCATGGAGAGCACTGGAATGCGCCTCCGCGCTTCTCTGATTTCTCCGGCTCACATTTACCTTTTCCTTGGCTAGGGCTATATATAAATATTTATGTATATATATTCATACATACATATATATTTAAGCAAAGGCATATCCCAAGCAAACCCTGAAGCTCAGGCTGGATGAAATGGCTTGGAGTGGAGCCTCTTGGTGTGGCTGAGCGCGTACTGTGTGAATGCTTCTCCTGTCCTGTGCTGCCATGGGAGTGAAAGGATGCTCATGCGTCGAAGGAAACGCTGCTTTCCTTTGACTCTGGTTTGCAGCATCCACTGTCTTTAGCAGAAGAGCTGTTGTCTAGCACGTAAAGCAGCAGGAAGCCGTTTGTGAGAACGGCTGAGCTCTGTTCCTGTCTCTGCTCCTGTGCTCTTGTGTGATCTTGGGGGAGAAACCAAAGCACCAGCCCCGGAGGTGCCCGATGGTCCTGGTGAGCACCAGGCGTCCCGAGCATCCACTGCAAGTCAACGCCTCGCTGGTTGGAGCTACGTCTATGTTTGTCCGCTGGCCGGCAGGGTCTTCTAGGATGTACCTGTACCCAGGGGAGGGTGGGAGGCATCGTGGCCTGGTGGGACAACACCGCAAGATCTTCTGTCCAAGGGTGATCTTCAGTGCTAATCCTCTACTTACTGACAGCCATGTCAGAGCTCCATGCAGCTGGGGTGGGCGAATGGGTGAGAACAGTAGCCAAAAGAAACAAATTTGTGTGGTAGCTGGCTAAGAAGGGAATTTAAACAAATAATCAGATGGTAACAGGCAAGTGATTTTGTTTGTGTTTCTTCTTGTTTTGTTTTTCCTTTTGAACTCTGGCGATTGTAAGAAGCTTTAGAAGAAAATAGAATTCAGTAATTAGGAACGATTTTATAATGGATGTTGCATTTCTTTTCCATTCGCAGATGGCATCTGTTTGTCTTTTTGTTGGCAAAATGGGAAATAGGAAACTGCGATTCTAGCACTAGGCAGAGCAGGAGCCCGCACTGTGCAAGAACAGCAGGTCTAGCTAAAGCGAATGCATTCCTTTTGTCCTCTAGAAATTAATATAAATGAACTATCATCTATTGACTGGTTTATATCACATCCTATGAATGTATGTAAATAAAACTGTACATAGATGCATATCTATATAAAATATCTTTTAATAACGTATCAAAATTTGTGTAAATTGGAAACAAAAATACCTATAAAGCCAGTGTACATAAGTTACAATTCTGTATATTTTCTTTTGTTCTTCATAAAAATATATTTACTTTGACAATAAAATGAAAATGGAAATTTTAAATCCCTTCTTGAAATTATTATTCATTAATTTTCTTTGTAGCCAGTTCTGTAATCAGGACAATAGCGCTTGAAATTTTGATTCACCTGGATGTAACTTTTCAGGTGCTGGGTAACAGGGAGATGATGAAACAGATCTGAAGTTGTCTTCAGAAGTTTTTCTCATCTCAGAAAGTTCTTGGGAGGCGCAAGATGTTTCAGCTCTCCCTTCGCCGGAGCCCTCACGCCTCGCCTGGCAGCCACGCTTGGGACCCCAAATGCCTTCTGTGGTTTCTGACCACTGTGGAACAGGTCTGCAGCTGCAGTAAAACTGTGGTTAATAAATTAGAGCAAGCAGGTTTTGAGGAAATTCAAGCTCTAGTGGTTTGTGTGAAGGAGGAAGGACTTCAGAGTCTACTCGAGACCATGACAGTGACTACTGTGTGACCCAGGACAAAGGACTCAATTGCCATGTGTTGCAGTTCCCTTTCTTGTAAAATGGGGATAATAATGCATCATAGTGATACTGTGGGACTTAATTTACATTTGTGTGATCCTTGGATGGAAGGAGCAAGCAATAAGACTAGTAGTCACAGGATTAGATTGTGAAAGAAAGGCCTGGCACAGAGAAGGTCTTGGTCCCAAGGCACTTCAGTTGTAAAGTGAAGTCCCAAGGCACTCTTCTGTAAATCCCACGTCTGAAAGAGTGATGTGAAGGATCTGTGGTACGAAGCATGCCTCAGGCCTGAGGAGAAGACGCCCCGTTCTGCAACAACCATTGCTTCCCATTCATAACAACAGGGGCATGAACATGATGCTCTTGTGATCTGCAAGCCAGGACATCTCTTGCACTGTGCTTTTGGTTGCTTGGCCTCCACTGGAAGAAGAAACCAGCAACATTACTGGTGTTAAAATCACTTCTGAGTCTCCATGGGAGCAATGGTGCAGTGGGTCCAGATCTTCTTCCAGCAAGAATCGCTCTGAGATGAATGGGCACTTAGGGATTAAAGTCTCTCCCTGAAGAACAGCCACCAAAAATGCCAGCTGATGAGCCAGGGTTCTCCAGACCCCTGATTATTTTTCCCAGAGAACCCCTGTGAGTCTGGCAAGAGGACCGAGGGATGAGGCAGACTAAGTTCTGTTCACTCCAGGCTGTTGTTACCTCCCGAGATGTAACTTCAAGACCAGAGTCCTAAGGACAGCTGTTTTAAGAGTGCTAGTCACATACACACTTTAATTAGCAAGCCTGCACCAAGAAGAGCTCCGATTCCCTTCTGTTCTCACCCTATCAACATCATGCATTAAACCAGCTGCTTTATTTTAACCAGCGTCTCAGTCTCCTCCCCATCTCATCTGGAGTTCTGATATTGCTGTAATGTTGGGCAATTCACCCTGCAAGACACTCGGGGCAGAAGTTGTTATTTTTCTGCAAGAGGCAATACTTAAAGCTGAAGTGGAGTGATGCAAAATACCTGCTGCTGGAGCACAGCAGTGCAGAAATCTACGATCTAAGCTATGTTTTAGCCTGGAGTATTTTCCATGAAACGCCTATTCTCTCTTTCCTTTTTTTTTTCTTTTTTCTTTTCTGTTTTAAGTACGGTTTCTGAGTGTGGATTGTGTGGGTTTTTCTGGCTCATACCTGTAAGGAAATTTAAGTTTATGTACAAATTGCAACATTTTGCTCAAAAGAGTAGGGCCATGTTTGCTGTGAAAGGAGAGTTAGTTCTGCATGAAAATTAAGACGTTTTCAGAGGTTTGCAACAAAAAAGTAGAAATTTCCAAAAGAGATTTTGATGTTTGTTTTATGTGGAATTACTGGCCTGCCTGGGCCTTGCTGATTCATGAGAAAAATGTGGCATTGCCTTAAGCCTGATTATTCTTTACCCACCTGAAGATAAATATATATTTAAGTGCTTTGATGCCACAACTGTAGATAAGTGTATTATGTCCCTGCTTCAGCAACTGTGCATGGCAAAGCACAGCATGGCATCGTTATACATGTGCCTAAGTCTCATTGACTTAAAACATCTATAATTGGGTTTCTGAGGTGTGAATGGACACGTGTGCAGTGTTAGAGCCTTCACATAATGATCATGATCTGGTTCCTAACACTTGCGAGATCTCTGTATGTTTCTAAAAGGTTTTACTGGCAATTTCTGTCTGTTTATACTCTCTTCATCAGAGCTAGTGGTGAAGGAATAGTGTTACAAGAGGTGAGGAGCCATCAGCTGGGAAGGTTGTACTCGAGGTAAGGACTAAGCATAAGGAATAAGAGTAAAGTGATATTTCTGTAAGGTGACTCGACTTCTGTGACCCATGGCTAAACACAGAGCAGTGGAGTGATGTGTCTGAGACCACAGAGCAACGCAGAGGGGAAATGGGAACAGAACGAAGAAGTCCCAAATCTCCTTTGCCCCAGACAGTGGCACAGACCACATGTCAATAACACACAGCGGGTTATAGAAGGCAAAGAGTAACAGGACACGTAAGTGAGACATCAGATAAGCAAAGAAAGGTAAAGACGGGGCATTAGATAAAGTCAGGCTGCACTGATAACTTTTGGAAAGGATGCCAAGGAGAGCTTGCTGCTGTGTTGCACTTGGGAGTCACCAAGGTAAAACTCCCCAAGAAGGGTCCTGCTCCCCTGACCTGTGTTATGTGGGGGCTTTTCCCCCTGACAGTTTGGGAGGGAGCTCAGGGAGCTGCACTCCTACGGAAAGCAAACCAGCCCATCAAGCAGCGTGGTGTGATGAAAGGTGGCAAATATGGCTCTCTGGAGGAGTGCTTGCGTTTAGACCTGCGCTGTTTACAACAGTCCCCTGCTTCCCACCATCCCCAGGGGGTTGTTTCCACTTAAATCCTTGTGCCAGGAGACTTCTCCTTGTCTAAATGGCCACTATACATTTAATCCAAACAACCAGGTGACTCCAGCACAAAGCCAGTGGCAATAAGCCAGTGTTAATGATTACCCCGGGCCCCTTGGTTTATGTAAGCCTGGATGTGCTGTACCACGGGCTCTCAGCTCGGACCTGCCCTCCCTGTCTGGCAGCAATACCAAGGACCTGCCAACACACATAGAAAGCTGTTTGGAGCCAGCTGGGA